CCCTCTAGAAAAAACGGGGCATATTTGATCGTGTTTCCACACCTAAGGAAATGAAGGGGATCCCCCGGGATCCCTTGCGCATACAAACCTTGAGACGGTTGTAATATTCCCTATTCGATGTAAAGGGACCATCCTCTAGGAGCTAGTCTAGTTTTTCTATCAACGTTCACCTCCATACCAGGAGTACCTGGGATCGTGCCTTCACTTTGAAAGACTTGGAATAATTGACTATCAGTTACTCATTAGCCTGGTTGGGACAAAGATGATGGGTTGGAAATGTAAAAATGCAATGAGAGATATAAGGGTGGCACGTGCAGTTCATGCTTTAGGCATGAGCCAGCTATGATCTCGTGATTATCCCAATGTTAGGGTGTGTCATTAGAAGATTGGAAAAATGAGAGGCCTCATCTCGCAGAGGTACACGCGAAAACATCTCCTGGGGGACACTCCAATCCCTATTCAACTCGAAGATCGTTTATGGCTGGAAACCGCTCAATTACCTTGGGATCAAGGGTCTAGTAGCTAGAGCATTTTGGCCAGGCTTTGAGTCGTCGCTAGCCTTGATTTTGATGGACTAACTCGGATCATCCCTATATCAATTCAAAGCTCCCATGTGACTAGTAGGCGTCAACTGCAATCTTTGTGTGTGGTAGAAAGATGCTATTTTTTTAGCGATTGGATAGGTGTGGGCTACTGCATGAGGTGCCATGATTTTTTAGGCGGCTTTCTATTAAAAGTGGGTTGTTCTTTAGGAGCTAGAATATTAGAATTGGATCAAATATGTTGTACAGAAGAGAATAGGATCCATAGATAACCAAATTCCGCACAAATGCCTGAAGAATGCTATAAGAGGAGAGGAACTAGGATAGGCAAGGAGAATAAAAATGGATTCAAAGACCCTTTAGTGGAAAGATAAGGCATGTGGCCGAACATGACTCGGGAAACCTCCCACGCTTACGACGTAGAATTAATTAGTCGCTTTTACTCATACATTTTGCTCCCTACCAAGGATATTGCTCGCCATTTTCACACTGGTAAGAACCTATAAAAGACACCACAATGGTCACTTGTAGCTCCATATCTCGTATGACCAATAGCTAACTCTTAGAGTGAAAGCTAAACTTCTTGGGATGACCTGTCTCGCCATTGGTTGCGAGAGGAGATTTTTTCCCACAATTAGCCACGCGAAGTGAGCTCAAGGGAAGTACGAGGCTTGTTGACAAACTTATCCGATGACATGACATCAAGTGTGATACAACCCAACTTGTGTGGAGATAATTTTAGGGGGCAATCCCAATCTCGTGTACAGCCATCCCGACCTTCTATTCACGCACCTATT